TTTGCCTCGTTTCCAAAATACTATGTGTGGTTCGTTATAAGGGTGGGGCAAGGTCAGTGTGTTAGGTCAGTGTGGTGGCAAAGGCCTGGTACTCAGACCTCCTCGGGGCGTAGCGACCCAAGTAGCGCGCGTAGAGGAAAAAAACAGGAACAAAAAAAACGCAGACAAATAAAAATAAACTGAAGTGAAATAAATGATGCCTAAGAAAAGTAAAATTTCCTCAAATTATCAAACTCCTTGCAAACTCTTCGTTTGATTAAGATATTCCATGAGTAAATTTTTGCAATAATACCTAACTGGGAAATTACACGTACGCACGCCGAATAACGTTACTTTTGTTGTTTTCTTTTTGTTCATGTTGTTTTAAGTCAACCTTTGAATTTTGGCAGTCTATGCCGCGAAGGAAGTTTTACTGAGAGCGCGTTGGATCGACCGACCAGAATGTGACCACTCAGAAATTTTGTTATAAATCTCTTTTACCGGGATTTACGGACCACTGGAAAGCTTTCTGTATTTTAATTTTTTTAAACCAGATTTGCAGATTTAAAAATGATGTAGTGAATACACGAACAAGTGATTTGTAAAGTTTATCCCATTTATTCTAACTCTTATTTCGGATGCAAAAAGCACATTGCGTTTGTTTAATATTATACTGAGAGTGCAATTCAAAACCAACGCCTATTGTAAAATACCCCAGTTTTATATGATAATAGGATTGAGAAAAAAATTCGGGTAAATGTTCATTACAAAACCTTTTGATTCCAGACAGTTTGAAAATTATTTGCAAGTAAAACAGCCTCATGCATTTATTATACACAATATGCATAGCAATTCAAAGAATGCAGCAGTGCATCGAAATTTTTTCAGTTCCTAAAATCCACAAAAAAACAGATTCTTTACCTACCATAAAGGCGTGTAGGTGTGTCATCGAATCTTGAATCATTAAGAGTGTTGTTATAAAGACTACTAGACGAATTGTTGTTTTCCATGTCAAGCGGCTGGTCGACTACTTGCCGTCGGGTCTTACGTGATCTGACGGATCGAGTTGGTCTGCTGTCCATTTCAGAGGATTCGATATTTTCAGGTGTATTTTAAAAAGAGTTAATTTTACTTGGCGTTCGACTTGATTTCCTTGCCACATCATCTATCAAAAAAATTTAAATGAATAAAACATTTCTTCAATGAAATTTAGCGAAATTTAATAGATCTAACAGTGTTAAAAATAATTCATTTTACAAAAATATGATGCTGTTGTAAGAATCCATGGAAATGAATATCAACAAATCTACGTCAAATCGATCTGAATCGAAAATCAAAGCTTACAAATTCAAATCAAATAGCATCTTTTTTCCAAAGTTTCTAATTTTAACGTTACTTCTTCCATTATACACTCTTTGTAACTAAAAAACAAGCAAAAATGTGGAGTGAAAGAGGTTAACTTCAGGACTGCTTATGTTGAAGAAAACGACGTAATTTACTTTCTCATAATTTAATATCAAGCTAAATAACCTGCCTGAAAATCAGATTATTTCAAACTGTCAAAACACGGAATCAACGAACAGTTTAAAACTACCAGTAAATTACTCACCAAGAGCTACATGCATTGTCGTATCTTTGGTTGATCGTAAACTTCTTTTTTTTCGCTCTTGATTTACCAAAACAGATGCACTTTCTTGCAATTAAAGTTGTTTTTAGTTGTCTTGGTCACAATGGCAATTTCGTGAGCTCATCAAACGCGCGCGAAATTCTTTGCCTCGTTTCCAAAATACTGTGTGTGGCTCATGGGGTAAGGTCCGTGTGGTGGCAAAGGCCTCGTACTCAGACCTCCTCAGGGCATGGCGACCCAACTAGCGCGCGTAGAGGAAAAAAACAGGAACAAAACAAAAGCAGACGGATAAAAATAAACTGAAGTGGAATAAATGATGCCTGAGAAAAGTAAAATTTCCTCAAACCATCAAACTCCTGGCAAACTCTTCATGTAATTTAGAATATAATTTCCATGGATTCTTACAGCGCTTTTTTTTTGCGTTTTCCGCTGCCGTCAATCATCTTCGCGGACCTCTTAGAAAACAGAACTTTACGAACACGGGCTCAAAAGGTCACGGTTTTTGATCTGTAATTGGTGGATTTCAATCCGTTTTGTGTGTTTTCGTGGTTGTTTACCATTTACCACAAATTCCCGGAAATTCCGGTTGGGATGTAACGTTTTTTTCTGGTTCGTCCCACTGGAAATTCCGGGACAAACGGAAATTCTGAAAAGGTGGTCCCGTTTTCCCGATTGGGACGTTCCAAATGGAAATTCGTTTACCATTTACAAGGTTCTTGAGTTTCGTACTGGTTTCATGTTATAACTAGAATCCAGTCTAGCGCGGCGCGACAATCCGGAAATTTCAGGCAAAAGGTAAACGACACGTACCGTTTACCCTGGGTACCAGAGGTTTTTCTCGCGTGCGGCGGAAATTTTCGGTGTTGGCCGAAGGCCGACACATCTTCGGCCGTAGGCCGAAGCCGCGAGAAAAACCTCTGGTACCCAGGGTAAACGGTACGTTTCGTTTACCTTTTGCCTGAAATTTCCGGATTGTCGCGCCGCGCTAGACTGGATTCTAGTTATAACATGAAACCAGTACGAAACTCAAGAAACTTATAAATGGTAAACGAACGCGCGGGTCACTATAAAGACTTGACAGAAACCGGAAACCGCGCTAGAAAAGTCTCTGGCACCCAGGGTACGTACCGTTCTTACCGACCGAAAATTCCCAACCAAAATTTCCGGAATTTTTTTATAAATGATAAACAACCCGTGTTTCAAGGCTCCTTGTGATCGTATGATTATCATTTGTGAAGTTAATCCCATTTATTCTAACTCTTATTTCGGACGCACAAACGAGTGCGTTCTAATGTGTATAACTCGGTGTAACAACAATGCCGGAGGACAATAGCCTGCGTTGCGCCTGCCACGCAGGCTAGAGGACAAAAGAACTTGGGACTGTGTGAAAAAGCTCTTCCAAGTAATTGTTACGTAGGACCCTGCTCCTAGCGACAATTTTTTTTTCGCTTTGGGTTCATCCCGTAGTCTCCCCACTCTCCCCCCCCCCCCCCCCCAATTTTTTGGCCAAAAAAAAAAAACCTTTCCCCCCCTTTTTTTCAAAATTAACCTTTTTTTGGGTGGGGGGGGGGGGATATCTATTTTTTTTTAGAGTTATTTTAAAAGTCCCACACATTTTTCCCCCCTTTGAGGGGGGAGGTTGGCATGTGTTGTCACGTGTTGTCTTTCCCTCTCCTCCCCCCCCACCATCTTTTTTTTTTCTCTTTTGGTTTCCCCCCGCTCCCCCCCCCCCCCCCCCCCCCCCCCCCCAGCAATGTTGTGGCCAAAAAAACAACTCATTTCCACCCATTTTGCTAAAAATTCAACTTTGTTTGGGTTGGGAGGGGAGTAATCGCTAGTTTTAGTAAGATTACTTAAAAGGTCCCAACACTTTTGACCTCCATTGAAGGTGGAAGGGCTCTGGGAAAGGCTGAGTTACGGATAACAGCCAGAACGAAGACAATGACAAACAATTACAGTTACGTGAAAATAAAATAATCAGCACGTAACGAGCGTGGGACAAAGTTATCATTGTAAATAAATATTTGGCGTTTTGTTAATAGCACATCTCAAACCCATTCCTTTTCTGGGCTTGAAAAAAGAAAACAGTGCCATTTAAATCTAGATTAATTGTGTACAAATGGTACACACCTTAGCACTGACCCCTCACGTGCCTGATTGTATCCTTAGTTACAAAACTGTAAACAAACTTCCCCGTCCCACGCGAATAGAAACTGATTACACGTGGTATGTACACATTTAAAAAGACGTAGGTGTCAATTCGGTTTTAGATACATTTTTGGTTACAATTATTACAAATATTGTAGACAAATTAACTCCCCCGTTTTCTCAAAAACGAGTGGCGAGTAAGACCAAGTGTGGGAGTAAGGAAGCAAGTATTAACAAAATAGATTAACAGAGTATTCCTTCCCTCCCACACAAACACATGGCGAGCCATCGGGATTAAGATGCCTTTTTCATGGTGGCAATCGACACCTTGTTTTGCCTGCGAGAAATGCTACAACGCTCGAAACAACTGAAAACAGGAGCCCACATGGGCCCATGCTAAAAATGGATCTCTTTTGGGGATTGAGTCAACAATACATATCTGACTGGCCACGAAATTGAAAGATTTAAGCTGCAAAGTACTTTAGGCCTGGTTAATATGCGTTTTCGATTCTTTTGCAAAGCCAGTGATCATTAGAACACAAAACTCTTAGCCATTATTTAAAAGCTAACTTTCCACTCCTGAAAAATTTAAGCAAACTGTATTTATTTCCGACGATGAACCGTCCATTGCAAGTAGCCATGAAACCAAGTATTTCGCCACTATGTCTTCTGGATTAATATCTTATTTAGCTGAGGACTTATTTGCATTTAGGTGAAGCAGCTTTTCTGATAACATGCATTTTTCACGGGTCGATATTTAATTTTTTTCCCTTCCAAAACGACCAAACACCTCAGTAATTGTAAAGCAAACTACAGCAGCTATAAATATTATTTATATTACCTGAAAATCTTTTCAAGGAATAAAAATACATCGACAAAACTTGATACGAAAGACTGAAAATTTTTCATATGGTGAATTATGCAGCTGTACACTCCATTTCAGTGTGCTGCAGTGTTCTTCATTTGCGTGGGCGTTTAGTGGTGAGGCGGAAAAGGGCTTTTGATTCCCTGTCGGGGATCTTCGGCAGATATCGGAAGCACTCGTGAGCGAGGGGTTTCTTCCTCAAAACGCCCTCAGAGTGCAAGGATTTTCCAGATTTAGATCAGGGAAGCCAGGTGAATTTACTCAGGTTAACTGATTCTAAATATAGAAAGCTATTTTTAGCTCCTTCTCTGACCAATCAGTTTGATTCGCCCAATTATTATCTCTCGGCCAATTCAATCTTCATAACACGATGTGTACAAGATGGCTGCCTCAAGTAATAACTGGGTAAAACTAAATGTCGGTGGAACTTACTTTTTAACGACGAAACAAACGCTCTGTAGGCATCCCAACTCCTTCTTGCATAGGCTTTGCGCGGAGGATCCAGATTTACCCTCGGATAAGGTAAGGAAAGCTTGTGTCGTGCCAAATGTTCGTGATGTCAAGCTCGCAGCTAACCGGTGGACATTTTGACATCTACAGGATGAACGCGGAGCGTATATGATAGATCGTGATCCTCGTTATTTTGGACCTGTTTTAAACTACCTTCGGCATGGAAAGCTCATAATCGATAAAGACCTGCTGGAGGAAGGTAATATAAATGTGCACGAATATCTTTTGAATTTAATTTGCTCTGACTGCTAACACAAGCCCTCTCTAGTTCTCCCAGTTTGAGTTTACGCCTCGGTATTTTCTATGTAAACATAAAGTTTTGACGACACGGGTTTGCAGCTTTTCTTTTATAGTGCCTTTATTTAAATCGCTTTGTGGCAGAGCTGAAGTATTTAATTTCCTCTGCGACTCTCAAGTAGCTGGACTGCATATAAGAATTCAGGCTGACATCGATTTTGTACGGTTCAAGCAATACGTAAGCCTTACATGTTAGCTAAATGGGAAACAAAAATCGGTAAATCTAAAAGCTTTTCCTTACCTTTTCAAATGCTTCCTGTCGCAGTAAAAGCTATAAACTCCGATGATGTGTGTGAAAGGTTTATCAGAGAAACAGACGCACAAATGTTTTGACTTCGTGAAACATACGACACCCTCCATAAAAGTATTGTTGACTTTACAGCAAAGAAATTTCTTACGTTTCACAACCTTTCCGTGTATCGTTTTTCTCCATGAAAAGGCAGTTATTCCAAACTTCATTGTTGCTGGCGTGCTGAAGTGCAAAGCAGAGAAAAAAAA